CGAGTACCTCCGCACAGCTACCATCATGGGGGCGCTGGGAGGTACAGGTACGGAGGCTGCCGTACCCGTCTAGCAGCAACGTGCACCTGTCAGTTCAAGCTTCAAAATTGCTATTTGACGTTGTCCTCTTGGCTGCCCCTCTCCACCTCATCAAATCCAATCTCAATTGAATCGGACTCCGAGCGCCTCCTGGTCACAACATGATACTTGCTTCATGCTCCTAATGAAGTACTGTAATACTAATGTAATAAAGTACTACTACTAATAATAATACCATGGATGCCTTATGCTCTCTTGAGGCTACTATTCCCCCCTGCTGACAGTCTCGCATCTCGCCGTCGCCGGCGCCTGCACTCCAATCCACTCTGCCGGGGCTCAGGGCCATCAGTGTGCCGCGGATACGGGCCAGGGCTCGAGTCAACTCCGGATTCATGCCAGTTACAGTACAGTACAGTAGAGTTTGATGGCGGCCGCCGCGGCTGTGCTGGATGACGCTATTCGCTGTACAGTAAGTATGGTGGTCTGTTGTGCCTCGAAATGAGCGTCACACGTCGATGGGCCAAGCAAGCTTGGACGGAATAGCCCGTATCGGGAGGCTTGATGCGGAATGCATTTCGGATAGATTGAGTTCCCCCCCATCCGATGGCTACGGACACAAGTAAAAATCATGATATTACTGTCAATATGACTTGATGTTAAAAAGGACCCTGCGTCAATTTCACCGCGAGCAACGACAGTCTTGTACGAGCATAGCAAACGCACTCCCTACCCCCCGGCACCGTATAATCTCGCCGGGCGACATGGAGTCCAAGTCTTCTCCTCATTCAGCCGAGCCACTAATGCCAGATGAATCCCTACCAAGACAAACCTGAAGCTGGTCAGCTCAGCACCAAACAAGAGCCAATGTCTCGTTCATCGGGGAATCCCTTGTCCGGGCATGACGCCAACACAAACACATGTCAATCATCTGACAGCTGTGTCACAGTAGTGGTGAGATAAGCCCAAGGGAGGATGAGTAAAGGCCAAAGCCTGTGCCATGTCAAAAGCCACCGGAAACTTGCCCGCATAGCCTCCTATCACCTATGTAATGGGCGTATAATAGCACAACCATCGTTCTTGTCAACACTTTATCTGCATCAGCAGCACCTGATTGTTGCAAGAGGGCTACGCGGCAAACTCGGTCGGCGAACGGCCGCTAGCTCAGAGGCATCCCTGTAGGCAAACCTGAAACCCCAATGTCCCGTCGAGTCGGTAGCATCAGGTGTCAAGCTGAAGGTACGGTACTTGGTATTACATGCTTCGTACCAAGTGTTGGAGATCATGTACATGAATAGTGAAGAGGCAGGCACTTGATGCATAAAGAAATGCACTCATCTGTACATGTGCATGTAGCGTCTTTGTTCCGGTATCATGAGGTTACATCTCAGCAAATACAGAGTTGTGGTTGTGATTTCAAGTTGGTTTCAATATTCCAATACTTCTGCCGATCGCCCATTCAACTCAAGGAGCATGCACCTTGATAGGTACTTATACAGTATCCGTAACTGCATCTTGTTCCATCATTGCAGCAGGATTCTGCAACTGTCTCGCCATAAAATCGGCGCAAGATGCGGGGAGATATTCGGCGTCAGACATGACTTTCACCTCACGGCTGAAACTCCGGACAACTTTTCGTCGGGCCGAGCAGTGCATTTTTCCACGGCCTTAGTTGCCTAGCAGCTTCAATTGTGCTCCCGTCTCATTGTATCCGCGAATAGTGCTCGCTATTTGGCCTTCTTACGGGTCTCCAATGATGAAACTACCTCCACTATGATGGAGATAGCCTGGACATAGTGTTCTTTACAGTGGATGCAAGCCCCGCGAAACCCCCGCATACTCTATAGATACGGCTAAAGGAAACATTGAAATGTCCTCCATCTTACGAACATGCTCTCAGTGAATTTGATGTCTCCAAACATAGTTGAAATTGAAACTCCTTCGTACGATCCAGATCAAGGCTACTCCTCAAGAGATCTCGATATGGGCTCCACGGAACAGCTTCGCACCTGGTGGAAAGAGAGTTCGGTGTACCAAGTATATCCGGCCTCCTTTCAAGACACCACGGGCTCTGGAACTGGCGATCTGAAGGGCATCATTTCACGAGTAGACTATCTCAAGGACCTCGGCGTGGATATAGTATGGCTGTCGCCCATATTCGCAAGTCCCCAGAAAGATATGGTTGGTTTAAACTCTCGGCTCTGATCCGCTACCCTATAAGTACAGACATACATATGTACACTACTTTGTGGGAGATATATGTGCCTATCTAATTAATATAATTTGAGTAGGGGTATGACATTAGCGACTATAGGAAGATTGATCCCATCTATGGAGATATCAGTGACGTTGATACTCTAAAGGACAAGCTCCATGAACGGGGCATGAAACTTGTCCTGGACCTTGTTGTCAACCACACAAGCGATAAGCACGAGTGGTTCAAAGAATCAAGAAAGTCAAAGGACAATGCCTTTCGGGACTGGTATATCTGGCGTCCACCCAAATACGATGCCCAAGGCAATCGACAGCCCCCAAACAACTGGGAAAGTCACTTCCAAGGCAGCGCCTGGGAATACGATGAGACAACCGATGAATACTATTTGCGACTCTTTTGCCGAGAGCAGCCCGATCTCAACTGGGAAAACCCGGACGTGCGCGGGGCCGTCCATGAGGTTATGAGGTTCTGGCTTGATCGAGGAATAGACGGCTTCCGGATGGATGTTATCAACTTCATCAGCAAAGACCAACGCTTCCCAGACTCTGATAAGGTGGTCTGCCGGGGCCACGAATACTACGCTTGCGGACCTAGATTGCACGAGTACCTGACAGATCTCGGCGCTATTCTTAGAGAGTATGGTGCATTCAACGTGGGAGAAATGCCATGCGTACAAGATCAGAATGAGATCATCAAGGCTGTGGGCGCCGACCGTGGAGAACTCAACATGATTTTCCACTTTGAGCAGTAAGTCGACTAGGAATCCTATGAAAGAGCATCATGGAGGCCTCTCTAAGCTACGTGCCACCACAAAAACTGACTGTTCAAATCCAGCATGGATCTTGACTACGGCCCGACAGGAAAGTTCTCTCCCGGGACATGGACTCTCGCAAAGCTAAAGACGGTTGTCACCAAATGGCAAGAGTTCATGTACAACAACGACGGCTGGAACGCCCTCTACCTGGAAAACCACGATCAGCCGCGAGTCATCAGCCGTTTCGCACACGATGATCCTCAGCACCGCGAGGCCAGTGCAAAGATGATTGCCGTGTTTCATGCTTTCCAGGCCGGCACGCCGTTTATATACCAGGGACAGGAGATTGGCATGACGAATGTTCCAAAGGAGTGGCCCATTGAAGAGTACAAAGACATTGATTGCGTTAATCACTGGAAGTAAGTTGATTCGATAAACCCATATAATGCGAGGGAAAGCTATATACACGGCCTCTGATGAAGTTCATACTGACCTTTATTTTACTTACTCCAGCTTATACAAAGACACCGCAGACGAAGAAGCCAAGAAGCTCGTCAAAGCAGAATACCAAAAGAAATCCCGCGACAACGCCCGAACCCCCATGCAATGGGACGCAACCCACCAAGCCGGCTTCACAAGCGGCACCACCCCCTGGATGCGCGTCAACGACAACTACAAGGACGTCAACGCCGCCTCCCAGACCGGCAACCCGCAGTCCGTCTACCACGCGTACCGCCAAGTCCTGCAGCTGCGCAAAAAGTACATGGACCTCTTCGTCTACGGCAGCTTTCAGCTCGCCTACAAGGCCAACGAGCGGGTGTTTGCGTATAGGAGGAGGAGCGCAACGGAGATGGCACTCGTTATGTGCAACTTTTCGCTGGATGAGGTGGTGATGGGGAGTCCTGATGTACCTATTGAGGTGCTCTTTAGCACGCATGGGAGGACGACGGATGATTTCAAGGGCGAGCAATCGTCGCTGGCTCCGTTGGAAGCCGTGGTGTTGCTTGTTGAACCAACTTTCATAGGGTTTACGTATGAAGCCGAGAATTGGGTGCTCTAGAGGACTGATGTCGAAATGGGAGTGTTCCCTACGACAATTGCTACTTTTTTCTATCAGAAAATAGTCGAGGGTACCGGGCAATAGGCAAGATAGAGAGAACTTTCTTTTGCTAGTCTGCATATACTTGGGAGCGTGAAGCTGCTATACTCCCCTCGATTATGGATAAAGAGCTTGTACGCAATATTACACTCAAACTGCAGGTTAAACCGCCGTGCGCATATGCAAACCTGACTAATGTTGCCGCTGTCATTGAACTCTATTTGTTTTCATTCTGTTCCCCGCACGGTCTGACCAGGAGCTTGGCCTCTTCCAAGTCCGGGAAACAGAGGCTGTGCAATCAGACCACCCGTCGCTTCTAAACCACTACGCAGCTCTTTCAACTCTCTATTGTTATCTACCAACTACCAGAAACACTGCATCACAGTTGGCTTTGCTTAGCTTTTCGATTACCTACAATGAGTCTATACGAGATGCGTCTCCAAGCCGCCGGAGCCTTTAATGGTAGCTTCTCAGCTGCCGAAAACACGGATGAGCATTTTCAACGATGCTGGGCTGAGCAGGCCTGCGGGGGATGCTTGAACAGCCAAGGCTGTAGCTGGTGCCCTTATGTGAGCCTCCCCATGCCGGAACTGAATTTACATGAAATCTGCGCCCCCCCCCCGTATTTCCTACAATCATTTCATCGTGTGCCACGATCATGAATTATGGCCTCTGACAGCGGTATATTGACGCTTTGTCTGTGCAGACGTGGTCATGCGTGCCAAATGAGTACACCGTCCCGGTGCTGGCGCCGGCCTTTGGTGGTAATATTTGTCCACACCCAGATGAGCGATGGGAGGTCAGGACGAGACCTCTTGGGTGTAAAGTCTCATCTGGTACAGCGCTGGCAGTTGTGATAGCTGTTTTGTCAACGTTGGCAGCGGTCTTGGTCGTTGCCGCAGCAGTCGTTACGGTTCGGAGAATACGGAAATCCGAACAAAAAGTGATCAGCTGGGAATGGCTATCTCGGTGGAAACAGTCATTTCAAAACCGAACCGGCAGAGCAGATCCAGAGCGAGACCCGTTGCTCTCACCACCCCAGGAAGATCATGTGTCTCCTTGAAAGTCCCTCTGAATTTGGTCCCTGGCCGCACGCGTCACTATACGGGCAAAAAATACGGCCAGATATTCAGCCAGAGCTGACGGGTGGAATTATGGCAACCTCATCTCCCTCTTGGATCAGAGCGCCGCCCTCACCGTCTTCGGGAATGTCTACATAATCAAGGTTGACCGTTACCAAACAGGAGTCGAGGATTTTGGCCTGGACGCCGGGATATCGTGACTCAAGCTCGGAAAAAAGCTTCCCCAAGGGCAAAGGCGCAGGCAAGCTCTCAGAGTCCCGTCCCGTGAAAGAGCCTGCGCCGGCAAAATAGAGCACGCTGAAGTGGCCACGCGGGGGTTTCGGGGCGGATGATGTCATGGTAGCTTATGGAGATGGATGGTTTGCGTGAAAAAGAAGTAGCAAATATGATGTGATTAACTCGGCAGAGGAATTGGATGCGTATTCTAACGATTGCTTCTTCTCAAGTATGTTAGCGTAGATGTTTTCTACTATCAACGGCAATTAAAGAAATGAAATGTGTCAAAAGTTCTAGAATCAGAGATCTTGGTGATAAATTGTCACATCATAGCGATCAGGTAATACATGCTATTTTGGAACATCATGCTAGAGAGTAGGATAATGCGATATGCAAAGAAAATTTGCACTTACAACATCCTAGATGGCGAACAATTTGTATCTTGTTCTGGAAGAGAATCGTGGTTTTGATAATGAGGGAAGGAGGAATAACACGCTGCAATTGGGGGCTTTTATGTAATCGTTGCTCCCGTCTCCACGTGATGGCCCCAGCCATCCAAAGCTTCCAATTAAATGGAGATTCCGTTAAAGCTACTGAGGGGAGAGCTTGGAAATTGAAAGCTCGGGCGCTAATGGTATTTTGGGAGACACTGAATTCTAGGTTCTTATTGGAGCTTCGCTTAATTGGGTATCATTCTTTTGCAGACGGTAAATTCGCAACATCAGCAACGCTGGCTCTATGTCAACTTCTCTAGTCGCTGTTCTAAGTCCTTTACCCAGCCTTCCATGACCTCCACGTTGGTCTTCATGACTTTATCGCCATTGCTCACGGTTTCTTCCAGCTTCTCGATACCGTCTTTCCATAGTTTAACTTCTGTGGCTATTTCTGCCTGCTGCTTCTCGATCTGGTCTAGTGTCTGGCTGGCGGTTGCGGCGTCCGCGTGAATAGCTCTGAGTGATCGCAAGCGGTCAAGTAGAGGAGGCAATATAGGCGTCAGGTTTTCGATGGTAGGCAGGATTGCGTACAAGGCATTGATCTTGGCTTCTTGTTCGGACGTGTCAGCCTGAGGGGCCCCCGCGTGCTTGCCGAGCTCCTCTCGTAGAGCCTTTGCCTTTTCGCGGGATTCATTCAACTTGTCTTGTTCAGTGGCCAATGCTCGTACTCGGCGACTGATTGTGTCTAGGTTGGCAGTTGACGCTTGCGAGAGGGTCGATATTTGCTTCTCCAGAGAGTCGAGCGTTGGAAGAATTGCCCGAGGAAGTCCGCCTTCACCGGCCTCTGACATGGATGATGAGCTAATGCCGAGGCTCCTCTCCAAGATTAACAGCCTGCGATCAAAATCCGCCGCCTTGGCGAGAGCATGTGTCTGCTCATAAGTCGGTGCGTAGGTAATAGTGTATGTAGGCCCAGCCTCGAGTGATCCTGCCACAGCCTCGCCTGCACTAGAAGATGTTGGATCGATTTTCTGGATGCCAGTGATGCCAGAGCGCCTAGATAGGTCGTCCAAAGTTTGGCTTAAAGACTCGAGCCTCAAATCACCCGGGGAGCCATCATCGCCGCCGGCTGAAGCCCCTTTTCGTTTGGCATATTCGTCCTTGGTCTCTTCCACTTCTCGCTTTAGACGGGCAATCTTGCGCTCCAAACTTTCCACATCGTCATCATCGGAAAGATCTCCCAGCTCTTCTGTTCCATCTTGCAATATCCGTTGGCGGCGGCTGGATGCTTTATATGATCGTCGCTTGCCGTCGACACGGTCTGAGAAGTCCGCTCCGCTAATATCAATGGTAGCTGGGGAGAATCGAGTGCGCGCTTCGTCAATGCGCAACCTTGACCGCGAGATGTTCTGAGTCTCGTCGTCTACTCCGTAGAACTCATCGTCGGAAAGCGTCCGAGCTGCAGTCGTCTATACCCAGTGTTAGCTGTGATTTAAAAAAGGGAAATGAAGCTTGAGCTGTTACCGGAACTGTAGAATTGTCATCTGTCAACTCTGGGGTTTCGTAGATATCTGGCGCAGAGTCCTGGTACGGGTTAGACGTTAAGCTGCTGCACATTTGCCGCGGAATCGTACCAAGTCTGGCAACGCCGCATATTTGCGGTTGAGCGCCATGGTAAAATGTCAAGGCTCGATCTTGACGCAAGCAAGCCAGCGGTGTGGTCGAGTCTAAGGCTGTTGTTTTGTCGGAGCTTTGAAGGTGAGGTCTTCGTTTCCAGGGGTCAGCTCCCTGCAAGGACAGGCGCTGGTAGCCTTGCAGCTGGTGCTGTCGCGGGGCACCTGGTACCTGTGGCTGTTACGGGTATTTGCACAATGTCCGACCGCCTTTACGATGGATGGATCTATGGACTGATTTCCCCTCAACTCCAAACTTGCAGTATTACCAATTCTCTTATTTATTGACGTTCCGGGGTGAATTGGTCACCGAGTTCTGCGTCTTCTGCTGCCCATCATCGTCCAGGCAATGAACCCCGCAAGATCGATATCCGAGCTTTAGCGATTTGATGTGCTATCGAACTAAAAGACGCCGTCCCACCTCGAATCACAATAGCGCACGCGTCCAAGACGCGCTGTGTATCGTCTGACGGTCAAATCTTCAATTGCCGACACCACAATTGATTGCGAGGCCGTTTGTATTTTTTAAGAGCCAGGCTTCCAACCCTGCCGAGGCGGGCAATCTAGCAGTTGCAATTCAATCTTGGTGGCATTACCATTGGCTCTTTGGCCACAGTATTGGGGGTTCAGCTTCTTCTGAGCGACATTGACGCTGGAGCTCTATTTAGAGCTAAGGGACACGCATCATGGTTACACCACCAGTAAGAAGAGTAGGATTAAGCTATCTTGATTCACCCGAGCCTTTACTCAAATCGATCAAGTCCAGGACTGAGGCGAAGACGAAGACGAAGACCACGACTACGACCACGACAACAGAAGCGGCACCGAAACCGAAACCGGAGTCCAGGACTCAGACCAGACGCTCTCAGATCAAGATCCCTGAGCCTGTTCCTGACGAGCCTGTTCTTGACGACATATTTGCGCCACCACTTGCGTCTAGTGATTTGGAAGACGAGGGCACGGCTGAAGATGCAGACAACCTGGAAGCTGAACAGCCTATTGCTGACAGCTCGGATTCAGATGATGCTCCGCCCCGAGGAGCTATCTCGTCAACCACTTTCACCTCCCAAAGCCAAAAGGGTGGGCGGCAAACTCGTCGGTCAACACTGAAAGAGGGATCGAAGCTAAAGGAAGAGCCCGAAGAGTCGCAATCAACGGCCAAGAAGAGGAAGCGCCCATCCGATGGCTCCCCCGAAAAGAGTAAACCAAAGAAAAATGCACTCCCCAAAACGGATCCGACTGCAGAGCCTCTGAATATGGCCAATCACCTCTTAAATGCCCAGGGCTTTACCAAGCAATCCAAGGTAAAAAACACGTTTGGGAAAAAAAGCCTCCTTGCTCAGGTAGCCCGGCTACCAAAAGGTTCGTACAGCTACATGTTTGCCAGCCATTGTATGCCTGCCACAGATGATTAACGACGCGCAGGCCTAGAAGAGCCGTCCACGCCTGTCAAGTTCAAGAAGCCTCCCGAGTACGGCACCAACACGCCCCGACAGAGCTGGAAGTTTCTTGTGCCAGATTCTGTTGGCGCCGATTCTCCGATCAAAAGGACCCGCCGATTAAATATGGTTGAGCCTATTCTATACGAGAACGAGGATGAGGATCCTGATGAAGACGACGAAGAGGACGATGATACCGTGACTTACAGCCAACCAGGATCCTTTACGGGAGGTGCCGAACGTGCTACAAAAGACAAAGCGAAACCGAAGCGAAAAAAACCCAACCCTTTGCGCTCAAGAAAGTCAACTGCGGTAAAGGGTGAGCCTGAAGAAGATGCAGCGCCAATAACTTCTTCACCGCCGCCCGCCAAGTTCGTCATGCCCGCACAGCTCTCAGACTTCGTACCACCCGGCAACGGCAACGGCGACGACATTGGAGACGGCGACTTGTCCGATGCAAGCAGCAGCGGCCTGAGCTCTCTCGGCTCCCTCTTCCCAGATAAAGAAGGCGATGGCGGCGCGCAGTGCCCCTGGTGCGGCGCCACAGTCGACATGAAGCTACTAAAGGACTTTTCAAACGGTAAACGCCTCAACGTCCGACTCCAAACAAAGTTCTGCGAAGAGCACAGGAAGAAATCAGCAATGGCAACGTGGGAATCAAAAGCCTACCCCGAAGTAGAATGGTCCACCCTCGAATCCCGTTTCAAGAAACACCAAACCCACCTCCTCGACATCATCAACGGCGAAGAGTCCTTCTACCGCACCCGCCTCGCAGCGAAGATCGAGCAGGGCCAAGGACGATCCATGAAGAAGGAGGAGAACCTCAACCCCGGGTACTACGGCCCCCGCGGGTTCAACATGATGTGCGACTACCTCGTCAAGGAGTATAGCGACATGCTCAAGAAGAAGGCCGTCCACGACAAGGTGATTGCAGGGAGGGGCTCGGCGGCATTTATCCAGGCCGTGCTGGTGGCTGAGCTGGGCGTGCAGCTCATCATGGAGGACATGCTCGTCTCGCCGGAAGAAGCTAGGCATATACTGGAGGAGAGCAAACCGATAGGAGACCTCGTGCACGCAGACAACTGGTTGTGATGGGCTGGAGGAGAAGCGGACAGTGTGAAATGATGTTATGATTTTTTCGTTGGAGCGATTTTTGGTTGTCATGAAGCTCGGCTTTTATTTGGAGCTCGCAAAAGATATCCCGTCTCAAGTGTATTAGGATAACGTGTTAGTATTCAGTTGTCATGCGAGCCTCTTTTGGCGGGAAGCGAGATGCCGGTTTACGACAAGAAAATATCAAAACTACCAGGTAGGTAACTCTATTTTATGATGATTCGAGACGAGCAAAACACAATGTACATAGTTCATCTTCTATAATTTATATACCATAACCCAGCAACTCAAGAACATAAAAAAACTGCATATTGATTTCCACCTTGAATAAGAGTATCAATATTGACTTCAACAATCGACCTCCTTTCCTATTAAGCAGCCATAACACTTTCTCTTGCGTCCCGAAACCGACGGACCTGCCGCTTCAATTGCCTCATGGTTGACCTCCTCCGCCTCGCACCAGGACCAAGACCCTCGACGGGTTGGATATCGCGAAGTGTCTCCAGCACCTTCAAGTCTGCCAGAAATCGACGCAGCCGCAGACCCGTTCTGTTACGCACAAAAGCATCTACTTCTTCGTCACAAGCTGCCGATGCTACAATATGCAAACCCCGGAGCACATCTCGATCAACGATATCGCCGTCATCGCCTTCGCGGTCATCTTCCGAGGCTGAAGCGCTCTCTCGGATTGAAGAAGTTCTTGTGGGAATATTAGGAGGGGCATTCGCTTGAGATTTGGGGCCGCGACCGCTTCTGCAGCATACTCCAACATGGTCAGGATCAAAACTTGGGCGAGGCTGGCTTGACTGGATATCTGTTTTGAATCGAGTTCCTTCTGATAGCCCTCTGTTGAACCTCTGAGTAGGGAGACTTTGATACGGTCGTCGGTAGGCCTGGTCCTCTCGTGAATTTAAATGACGAGTAGGGGGATTTTGGGTTGTCTGCGTTCTCTTGGCTCGCGGCTGCATACGAATCTGCTCCTTTGAACATGGTTCGCCGTCGTAACATCCGCCGTGACAATGGGCCGTCGACTTTGTTGGCTGTCTTGACTGGGAGTTAAACGCATCTCGGGCCCCAAAGCTTTTCTGGCGTGGGCTTCGTGGGCTTGAATCGGCTCTTGGACGAGTTCTGTTCTCCCGGTCGCTTCGCCGAGGGATTACAAGTGGCGTGGGCTTAGGAGGAGGCGTTGGAGGCGAGTCCCTGGACATCCTCGAAATAGCATCTCTAGATATCTGTCGGAAGTGTGCCTATGACCCATCCGCAACAGAATCTTCATCCCGGGTGAAGCAACGAAACCAACGTCGTTTTGGTTTTCCCTTATCCTTTGCGGTCCGCCTCTTCTGCTTTCGAACAGGCGCCTCGTCGATCAGCGCGAACCTCCACTCATCCATGTCTTGTGAAGGTGCAAATGATATCTGGCTCATTGAGTTCCCGCTGGAGTCCTCTTCTTCGAAACCATCGAATTTCGGCACTTTTGCGTGGTGCTTGCTACCGGAACGGTTGGCACGTCTCTGGGTTGATCTTGTTGGGATGAGTCTTGCAATATAGGCGGGAAAGCCACGCTTCTGGTCCTTTGATGTCACTGCTAATCCTGCTGCCTTAAACTCTGGACGAAAGGGCATCAATGGTGATACTGTACGTAACGATATATTAGACTTTGTTGGTGTTTCTGGTGGATTCGTGTGCTGCCATAAATGCTTAGTCCGCCGGGATTGTCCATGTCGTCCTGCGATCTTGTCTGACTGATCTGACTGGTTGAATATCCGTGCCTGATCTGACTGGTTGAATATCCGCGGATGATTGACCTGTTGGCTGTGTGATGCCTCTCTGAATGGCCGTGAGAAGCTTCTTTCTTGGTTATTCTTTGACCTGGCTGAAAAGAGTCGCAACTGCTGGCACACACTTCGCGAGATGGCTTCCACAAGAGCAGAGTCGATGGACGTATGCTTCGACGCGCTCACAAAATCAGCCGCGCCGTCAAGAAGCAAACTATGCGATGAACGAGGACTTCTATGCATGCGCATGTGAGCCTTACGTCGAACCGGAGGGGGTGAAAAGCCGGCCCTTGCAAAGCAGGTCGATGTCTCGGGCTTTTGAAGCGTTGATGCATGGTCTCGTGATGGCTTCGCAGAAATACTCAGAGGATTGACGTTGTATTCAGTCTGTTGCGGAGGGTCTTTCGGCGGAGGCAATGGGAAGGAATCCAAATCAACTGATGGTTCAGATGGAACCCAGGATTGGTCAAGAGAAGATGCTCCGTCGAGAGACTTCATACTGACGCCTCGGAAGGTAGTTCCCACGTCATAGGCAGAGCGAATGTAGGGCTGGTCGCGGCGAGCAACGTCTGGAGGCGATTTATTCGTCTCGTTGGGTGGCATCTCAGCATAGGGCCGCTCAGAAGCCGGCCCAGTATCACTGCTGTATACTGATCCAGGAGATGTCATAGGGGGAGAGGCCTTGCGAATCGGCGTATGCGCCCGGCTCGAACGTTTGGAAAGAATAATGACACGGGATTTAGGGCGCTGCCTCTGGAACGATGGTGTTACAAGACTGTTGCGGTGTCGAATTCTGTTTCTATCAAGTAAAGAAGAGGCGGCTTCGGGAATGGCGGCTAACGTAGCCATTGAGTGAGAGTCCATGGAGATAACGAGAGCTTTACGAGATGAAGCTATTAGAAAGTAGATGAGAAGTAGTGGAGGCAATGATTCTGTGGTACGATGCGATGGCTAAGAAGTTTTGTTTTGGTTGATCTAAGCATGAAGCAGAAGTCATGCAGCTCTGTGTTGTCATCTCGACACAGAGAAGAACATTGGAGTTTGAGGGGAGAGCGGCCATATCGGCTGGATGTCTAATGAGACAGGAGCGACTGAAGATAGATATCCAAAGTCCAGGAACAGAGCAGCAGGCCACAGACGCTGAGTCTAGGCAGTTGCTTTCTGCGGTTTGCATCATGGATGGCGCATATCGTGCTACCCTGTCTCGGAGGTAGGAGACCATGGCTTGAAGATTTCTTTCTGCCTTGGCCTCTAGTAAGTGCGGCGGGCGTCTCACTTACCTGATATCCTTGATACCAGGTGAAGAGTAGACGTCGAGCTGCCGATGGCCTTTGCGGAGCAGGAACTCGATGGCGGCAAAGTCGCGCTTTTCGACGGCAATGTTGCGTGAGAATTCGTCTCTGTCAGAACGATGTGAGCACTATAATCCAATGTCCGGTATCTTGAGTGTACCAAGACATGCAAGTTCATCTCACCTCACAAACTTTTCAAAGTGAGCGCGGGTGTTCTTGTGTCCTTGTTAGTTGGATTTCAAATTCCAGCTCTTTCCAGCAATGAGCCTTTAATATTGACGTCTATCGGTACACACCTGAGGCTTCTTCCTGCACTCGCGAAGGCACTGGCGATACAGCGCCAGCACCTCCTTCTGCAGGCCTGATAGACGCATCGTTCCAGTTGCAGGGTTCTGTGATCAATGGCTTGCAGTTCGTTCGTCTAGCCTATTGCGCCGCGAGTTACGCCGTTGAAGCGCTGTTTGAGAGGCTGGCAAATCACCGGCCCATAGTTGGTGGAATATTTGCAGCTGTCGCGCCCACCAACTGGGAAAATGGGCATTTTGGGGGAGCATCGAGATGCTTGTGTGGGGGTTCGGCGCCAGAGCGGAGTCCGAATTGTGTGCCAGGGTAATCGATCAACCGTAGACGGAGTTGTCTTGGTAATGCAGAGAACAGCATGAATCGCGACATCGGATAAATCCAGTTGGTCTTTTTTGTTGACACTCTTGTAGAATATTTATTATACGTTTTGGTGACATTTCTTATGCAGTAAATCATTTATTATACTGGTTGCCATATACTTCTTGCGTCAATTAAGCCATCATGTCTGCCAGATTTACTGTACGGATGCCCTCATTGCCGCTTATTATCATGGAACACTATACTAACCTTGACAGCGCCTCATCCGCTTCTTGGCCAAGGACGGCCGCACATATTACGGCGATGCCATCTTGCCTCAGGGAGTCACTGACGTTGCCAAAGCTCAGCGCGCCCGCATCGTCGAGGGTGACATCTTTGGTAAATATAATGTGACAGATCAAGAAATTGGCGTACGCCTGCTGCTCGCCCCGTTGGCGCAGTCTCATGTCAAGACTGTTCGATGCTTGGGGCTCAACTATGCCAAACATGCCAAAGAATCCAACTTACCAGAGCCTAAATTCCCCGTCTTATTCTACAAGCCCATCACCTCTCTCTCTGGCCCTGTCGACCCCATTCCTGTCCACTCGATGGCGCAGGAGGGAACCGGCTTGGACTACGAGTGTGAGCTTGTTGTGGTGATTGGCAAAAGATGCACAGATGTGTCCGAGGCCGACGCACTCAATTATGTGTTGGGATACTCGATTGGCAACGATGTGTCCCACCGAGACTGGCAGCTCAAGCACGGAGGAAGCCAGTGGTCTCTCGGCAAGGCCTTTGACGGCTGGGCGCCCTTTGGTCCAGCCATTGTCACGGGCGATGTCATCAAGGATCCCCAGAACCTGAAAATCTGGACCAAAGTCAACGGGCAAACCGTCCAGGTATGTGATCGGCACACGACGACTAGAAACGCCAAACTGACTCATAGGCAACAGGACGGAAACACGGCAGACCAGATTTTCAGTGTACGACAAATGATATCCTTCCTCAGTCGCGGCGTGACTCTGCTGCCAGGAGATGTCATCTTTACGGGGACCCCCGAAGGTGTAGGAATGGGTCGGAAGCCGCAGCTGTGGCTCAAGGACGGAGATGTCGTCGAGGTCGGTCTTGAGAGTGTCGGCACGTGGTATGTTACCGTCTTATCCCCTGATCCTTGGAGAGGTGAAATAAGCAAGGCGACGCTAACAAAGGGCACCTTTGCCTTGCATCCAGTACCAACAAGGTGGAGTTTGAAGCTCCCAAAGCTAAAATCTAGACGTATGACGGTCAGAAGCTACTTTGCTTACGAGCATCTACGGTTTAGCTTGATGGATGCGGCAGGTGTTCGTGCTAGGTGAGGCTCTAGGGATACGGAGAGAGATTTCAGGTACCCGGCATGCATGATAGGAGACCTGTGTGGCCTCACATAAACGTGCACGATGAGGAGGAGTGCGGTTGCGTGTTACTGCTTACATGTACCGGCAAGCAGCGATTGATATCTTTGGCCTTGATTTTGCGATTTCTACCTTTTACGTAGCGAGGTAGAGTGATTTTTCTGATAGAGAATTATATCCTATCATTAGCTTGTTGTCGTATTAAAGGACATGAACATCATCACCACCTACAGCATAACACATGTGTTTTCTGATATTGACGCATCCATCTCTTCTCTTCCTGGCGACAGTGACATCTGCAGGGTGAATCAAAGTTATTAATAGAGTAATATTGTGGCAATGCTCTCTACTGCAATGCAGCCTCAACTGTCTAATGCACGCTCGACACCAGGCCTGAAACCTATATCGATAAATTCCCGGTAGGATTGCGCGCCTTTAATTCTGGCAAAATGTCTGAGGTGGTGCTTCCATGTCCTCACCCGTACGTGCACGTATTATTAGAGGTCGACCACAGACTGCATGTGCCTATGGACCTGATAAGGCGAGTGCTAGTGCACTCCAGGCACCCACGTGGAAGCTTTCAGTGGACAGAATCCAACCACACGTGCGGCTGAGGCGCATCTCCAACTCCTTGCAGTTTAACCCGCCATCCCGCAATGGACTCATGCCATGCGATCGCCCTGTCCAAGCACCAGTCCTCGTTTTGTTCGTGAAACAGCTTCAACTGGGGTTCTCGTTATCTTGCTGATTCCGGTTTCCCCGGAGCTCGGCAGCACCAAACTGTCCACGAGCATTCGATAAGTCGGCGTCAAAGCGGCCAAACAGCACTCGCGATGCTTCCAAGACTGGAACACAGGGCCACTCTCCGCCTCGTGTTCCCGGAAAACGATATCGACGAGAGTCCATGTGTCCGGCCAGTGGCTGAAGCAGCGCTAGTAGCTCAGCTGCAACGCCTCGCGGCCGTCTTCTCTCCACATCCCGCCAGCGATGAGTGAACAGCAAGGCGATGCCATCTCAAGCGGTGGTGCGTGCCGGCATCTTACTGGCCCAGATTCGCGCAGAGAAACTGGCTTGCTCCCCGCGAGTGCTTGGCTGGGTTGCCGTCTTGAGCAAGGACTAGCACGAGGAGGCTGACTTGCTTGGGTCAGGGTGCCTTGCTCGAGGGATGAGCAACAGCAGCCTAAAGCTTGCGGCTCCTGGCTAACAGGCCGTCTGATGCCGATGCAGGTAGCACGAGTCCATTTATAGCGTCATGTCGTAGTTGTTGTGGCAGCTTGGAGCTGTTGAGCTGTTGTTTCGTTTACATACTTCAGTTTATAAGAGTGAAGTCGTCAAAATTCAAAGCTCTGTGGTGTTCTGCAGTGTGATTTCGAGCATTATCATCATACCCAGGCACGCACTGTAGGACACACTCGCGGCTTCTCTCGAGGAGAGCTGAACCACCACGATGACTACATCCACGGTTGAGCTACATACCCTCGTGTCGGCATCTCTCGGGCCAGAGGACTGCATCGACTTTTACGAAAATCCATACACAGCACTAGGGAAGCTACAAGATGCTGTCAAAAGAAAGAGCAAAGAGCTCGAATCGCCAATCTCGACATCGACAGAGAAACCAGCCGATGGTGACATCAATGGCATCGACTGGCATGAATACGATCCTCCGGCAGCACTTAGAAAGACCCCCAATGTCACGTCTCAGATCCTCCTAGATATCGTCTTCACTTCGATTGAAAACGTCAAAACACGAGTCGGCGAAGAGCAACGTCTGAAGAAGGAGGCCGCAGAGGAGGCTGCTCGTCGGACAGCGGAAGAGAAACAAAAGGCAAAGGGAAAGGAACCTTATTTGCCCATATTCATTCCGCCCGAGGATCCGCCAGCCGAATCATCAGGCACCCGAGTAAAGAATTCGAAAGATTTGGTCATGTCAGGGGCGGTGCCAGATTTCGTTCTGTTGGGGCCCCCAGGAGTACCAATCAAAGAAGAGAAACGTCGAAAGTTTGCTCTACGCAATTTGTTCCAGCGCAGTCCAGAAGGGGGAGAAAGCAGTGCTGCTGGGCGGGCTCGTGAAGCCCTTCAACACAAACTAGAGACTAAGATTATGTCTGTCGACCCAAAATCAGCCGATCCGAAGACTCTGGAAGCTATTGCTGCTCTCAAAAAGACCAAACTATTCAGGACTGCTGATCCGAATGCACTTGTGTAAGTCTACCTGATCTCTCGAGTCCGTCTCTGTCCTAGGTTCTTCAAACTAACCACCCGTGTTTCTCTTCTAGTGAATGCGTTTCATGCCTCGACGACGTCCCCTTGAAAGATACGGTCAAGGTTCCATGCCACAGCTACTGCCGCGACTGCTTCGTCCGTCTAGTAACAGCAGCAGTTCAAAATGAACAACAGTGGCCGCCTAAATGCTGTTTAAATCAGATCCCCTTCAAGACTGTCCTGAAGAATATTCCCGACGAACTGAAAAAGACGTTTCACGAAAGATCATCGGAGTGGGAAATTCCCGTCAGCGAGCGAGTATACTGTCATGTTCCCGACTGTGGCGTCTGGATTAAACCTGGCAAGATCAGTCTCGCCAGGCGTCAAGCCCGCTGCGAACGCAATCACGTTACATGTACCATCTGCCGAGGCCAAGCACACGGAAACAACGACTGCCCTCAGGATCAAGATTTGAACTTGACCAACCTGCTAGCAGAGGAAGAAGGTTGGAAGCATTGTTACTCTTGTCATGCCTTGGTGGAACACAAGGAGGCGTGTCAACATATGACGTGCAGATGCGGTGCTCAGTTCTGTTACGTGTGCGGCCTTCGGTGGAGAACCTGCGGGTGTACAATGGAACAGCTACATGCCATCAAACAGGCAGCCGAAGCTCGTAGGGGGCAGAGGGTGATCAACGAGAGGGCAGAAGCAGAGGAGCTGCGCGAGATTCTCGCCCAGATCGAGGAGTTTGAGCGCCAAGAAGCTTGGACACGCGAGATTGAAAGGCTGGAGTTGGAAAGGCTGGAGCTGGAACGTTGGCAAGCCGAAGTGGAGAAGAGGCTGAAAATGGAACAGATCCGCCGCCAAGAGGTTGAAATCAAGTACCAGCAGCTACGCGAGATGCTGGATGAACTTCATGAGCTCCAACAAGTCATGGCTGATTCGAAGCAAGACGAATATGCCAGAGACCTAGCTGCGGAAGCCGAGTCAGCGAAGAAACAGCTCGAAGAGAGGCAGCAAGCTGAGCGTGACAATCTTGACTCGCTAATGCAGATCAAGATCAGAGCTAGAGAGGATAAATACGACAAGGAATATGCTGCTCGAGCAGACCTGGAGCATCAATTAGAGGAGGATTATCTAGCCCAGCTTCGCGACTTTTGGGCTGATAAAGTCGATGGGGAAGAACGGGTGGAAGCAAGCATGCTGCCCTTGCGCCAGCGTATGGATCTGGCGTACCGGACGTGGCAGAGATGGAGGGACGACCAATTACACCATTACCGGACCAAGCTCGAGGATGAGCGAACTGTGAAGGAGGAGCTCATGTATAGCGCGAGGAAGAGGAATGACGCAGCGTATGTGGACAAGGAGACGGACCTGACGAGGCGGATGGTGGCGGAGAAGAAGTGGATTCAAGAGGTGATTCTGGAGCGTGAGCGATTGCTTGTGGGAATGGAGCTTCGAGAGACTGAAGACGACGCGGATAGTTTGTTCGCCGCAGAGACCAACGAGAACAATGAGTAAACTGGGCGATGGGAATGGGCGTATGGCGAATCGGATAAGGGGCGTTTGCATTTTGGGCATGTGAGACGGTCTTGGCTCAAGGTCATTTGTATAACTTTTTTTTCCTTTTCTTCTCTCCCAGGCACAACTATGTAGTAGGAAATAAGAATATCGAGTTTGTATCCACAAGTGTCATGAGAATGAGCAAGACAATGCGAGTCTTACCTTAGGAGAAGGCAGATCAGCGCCGGGCAGCTTGCCATTTAGAGTAATTATATCGACATCACCGGTCACTGCCACTAAATAATACCTAGGTAAGAAGCTTCTTTGATATATGATGCTATTATAGCCTTTCCGACAGCCGTGAGAAGCACGGCATCAACGGTAGTCGGTTCTCGGAGCGGGAATTTGACAGGTCCCCTTTCATTATCGGCGGCGGCTCGGGGCGTGGACGCAAGCCGTCTTACTATCGTCAACGGGATGGAATAGTCAAATTGCTTGTAATTCATGTGTCCCCTGGAACTAAGAATCTGATGTGAGCAATAAAACAAGCATGATCACAGACAACCTGAGATGGACTGTAGTTGAGTTGACCAGGGTGAAAAGACTATTGCTTCAATTTGCTTGTATGGTTGTACGAAAATGGATTGTCATTCTTATTTCTTAATAAGATTTCTGAATAATGCTACACATTGAACGTCATATGGAGAATATTACCAATGCGACTGAATACAGTAAGTGCCAAGATGCTTCTGGGGCTATCGAGGGTCTATCTCTTTTTAGTGATGACATGAACCTTTGTATATTCGCAAACTATTGACTTTGATATAGTTGAAGTGGACCTGATTGCTTATTTAAATTGATGACTACTATACTTTGTGAATCACATACGGGCAAGGCTGTTTCTTTCGTTTATAGAGCCTCGGCTCTCGTTAGTCAGTGCGGATTGCCAAGAGGCAACAGATTGCGAGTCTTGGAAACAATAGGGTTACATTGGCCATGGCCAGACTCCAAAGACGTGGATGGATGAAAGGGGGTATCAGGGAAGCCGAATTTGTTTGTATGGTACCAGACAGAGCACTCCCGAAGCTCTTGATAGGTAACTAGGAGCTTATCACAGAGCTTCATATTGAAGCCATCCACGGTGATACTGTGCCGCTTCCATGGGGCTTCAATTGCTAAAACGTCCATGTTTGAGGCCACTAAAACGCACCTCTCCAGCGTCTCTCCAGCGCCTCTCCCAGCAGGCAAGAGCGCTAAAACAAAATCCATGTCACTAACACGCATCGACGCCCGCATTGGCCTTGTTTCTCCTGTCTCATTGAACTCTTGTCCATCTCCAGATTTTCCAGCAGCTGGGCTAGCCCTGGTCGCAAAGCTATTTTAGGAGCGGTTACTCATCTTGATTGCTCGAAACCGACCCCTTGGCGGGAAATGGCTGCGTCTGATAGGGTGCCCAGACCAGCCCGGGTTCATGCTGCAGTCGGCACTTTTTGCATCCGAGTCGGGGGAATATTCGAAGCACGGGGTGTATCAGCACGTCGACGGTCCGTCGCGCCACGGTTTGGCCAGAGCGCCTTGACATGAAGGCGACAGATGGAAACAAGACGTGAAACGAAAGGGGGAAGTTGTGTTGAGCGGCAGTGGGCTCTGCATCGGCATCGGCATCAGGGACAAGAGGCGTGGGGATTTGCACTGCAGATGACGGCACTCGCGTTTGCAAGAGGAGCACCGTTTGCAAATCATCGCCATCACCATTGGGCGAGCATCATCAAGCGGGCGCTGGGGGCGGATCTCGAGGACATGGCACTTGCATCCATGCAGCGGCTACTCGTACATGCAACATGGAGGCTCTCATCCTCCAGGCTGGCGACAGACAGGCCCTCTGCTTGGAGCCACGACGACCAGCGCAAGGCAAGCGAGCGAACGAGAAGCAGCAGAGAAACGCTAGCTCAGTCCTTATTGCAGGTGGCTTTCGCAAGTTTGCTTTCAATAAACAAGCTTAGTCCGCCGTGATGCAGCCCCTGGGCTACCCTTGTGCCTGATCCAACCAAAGGACATTTCCTATCTGAGGGCACAGGCGTCTCAGCTGGTGTCGAGGGGAGGCTCTCGGTTTGGTCCCGAACGATCCATGCCCAATACAACATTCAAGCTGGCACGCTGTGCTCCGTATGCGGCATCGCGGCCCCCATAGGCCTCAGCTCCAGACAATCTAGGCAATGCTCACTCGGCTACGGAGTACTATACGGAGTACGCAAACACAAATTCGGGTCAATACTAGCATCAATTACTTGTGCCTGACGCTACTGGATTCGCACTGGCGCGGAGCACTACCATAGTGCCTTGTGCTAGCTTATACACAAAGCGGAAATCGCACTGCATCGTTTCTATAAGCAGGATTCAAAGCGTCAGCCAGGCCAATGCGCCATCAATGTTCAGCACACGCCCCTCCCCGACTCCATTGCTAGAGTCGCATTGAGAATCTGTCTGTTCTCGTGAAGAGTTTCCTCCTCCACGGAAACACGGAACGGCCAGGGGTAGTGGCAGGAGCTCTGGCTTGGTTTATTTCCCGGCATGTGTTTCGGACCTGGACAGCGAGGCGCGAACATGTTTCGTTGAGCGCCATGCCATGCTTCAGTCCCTTCTTGGAATAAGGCATCCCGTGGCCAGACGCTGACGATGATAGAAAGGAGGATGCATATAAGACCAGCACACCCTCAGGTTCCTGACTGTTTCTTTCTTGATATTTCCTCAGACCAAACAAACCAATCCTACTCAAGTGATACCCCAATTGCAAGCGATTCAACAGTTCCTTCTTCTTCTTTCTCCTTATAATACCCAAACACCCACACAAAACAAAACAAAACAACCGCCAACATGCTCTTCACATCTCTTGCCGTTGCCACCCTCTCCGCTGTTGCCAGCGCAAAGACCATCCGCATCGACGTCGGCCAGAGCGGTCTCGCCTTCACCCCCAACGACATCAAGGCCAGTGTCGGCGACATTTTGGAGTTCCACTACTACCCCAAGAACCACAGTGTTGTTGCTGCCGACTTTGCTACTCCTTGCAAGCCCAAGGCTGAGGGTGGTTTCTACTCTGGTTTCTTCCCTACCACGTCTAGCGAGAACGTAAGTGGCAAGGATAAACATTATACGGCCGCACGTGTACTGACAGCTATATCCAGGAGAACGTCTTCCAGGTCGAGGTCAACAACACCACTCCCATCTGGTTCTACTGCTCCCAGACCGTCGGGAACCACTGCGGTGCCGGCATGGTTGGTGTCGTCAACGCCAACACCTCCTCCACCAAGACTTTCGACACGTTCCAGGCTGCTGCCAAGAAGGTCACCACCAACGAGTCTCCCAGCACCGGCGGCGCCTTTGGCGGCAAGATCCTCGCTGCCCCCTCTGCCACCACATCTGGCGGCAGCAGCGCCACCAGCGGTGCGCCTGCTTCGGCCAGCACCACCAACGCTGCTGCTGCTCTTGGCTCCGTCAGCGGCATGGCCATGGCCGTCGTCGGCGCTGCCGTTGCTTTCGCCATCTAAGTGCTGAACGAACCGGGAACATTAGAACGGATTAATGGGCAAATTGTGAATATACGTCGGCATGTACAATGAGTCAAGGAGGGTTTTCTTTTATGAGGGGCAGCGTGCGGAAAAGCGAACAATAATTTCATAATCCCCTGCTGCGAGGCTGGCCTCTTTTATCTTCAGGTTTTCTTATACCGTTTGGGTCAAGCAATTTACATAGACGCCATTTAGGCAAGTGAATGGGGGAAATCAATCAGTCAATGCACACAATGATTTAAACTCTCAATTCTTGTGCTTTTCGCAATACAAACTGGTGACATGGCATGAAATGATATGATTTCTTCACGGTTAAATGAGTTGATTGACAAAGAATAAACCATGGCTGCCCTGAGGAAACAATTATCCAGCCCGCATTTAGCACTCTTAAGAGCACTGGAGGTCGTTGAAACGTTTCGACTCAGCTAAGCAGCCAAGACTTGTAGGCCCAAACCTTAGTGTTAGTGATGTGCAGTGGGTCTGTCTAGCCTCAGATGCAGTAATCCAGGCCAAAACGGCTTATTCACACTGACACTAACCAAAGTCTTGTCATCACCGTCTTCCAGTGAAAACTTACACAAGCTCATATCAAAATCATACAAAACGAACATCAAGCTGCCCAGCATGGGTTCCATCACCAGAGAGGAAGATGCGCCCACAGCCTCCTCACAGTGAGTCTATCTAACCCAATAAGCACCACATGTTTTATAACCGGACATCGAATTTCCAGCGGTGCAGGGTAAGACTTGGTTTCATCATGACTAACTCACTGTGACATTTCTTAGTCCGCTCAAGATCTTTGATGCTGTGAGGAGGCAAGATCGGTTTCTATATGCCTGTGCGCCGATGGTGCGCTACAGCAAGGCAAGTACTAGCAGATGAAGCGTGAATTGAAAAGTTGTGAGGATTCTTGAAGAGTTCGAGCTGACGGGCATCACCGGCGCAGCTTGCATTTCGCCAGACCGTTCACAAGTATGGCGTTGACCTGTGTTGGACGCCCATGATTCTGGCCAAGGAGTTTAACAGGAATCAGTTTGCCAGAGACAGCGGTATGCCATCTTAACCACCCAATCAACTCAAACAAAATGAGATATAAAAGAACCAAGGCCAACAAAAAAACTACAGACTTCACAATATCAACCTCCGGCGTCCAGCCTCCCACAATAGTCCAGTTCGGCGCAAACGTGCCCCTGGAACTCGCCCGCGCCTCAACCCTCGTCGCGCCTTTTGCGTCGGGCGTAGACCTCAACTGCGGATGTCCCCAATCATGGGCCTGTGCGGAAACGCTCGGGGCTGCGTTGATGAACAAGAGAGAGCTGGTGCGCGACATGGTGATCGAGACGAGGCAGCATCTGGCCAGGGACGGATGGGCCGTAGGGATGGAGGAGGACATGGAGAGTCCCAAGGGACGTAGTGTGAGCGTCAAGATACGGGTTCACGATGATTTGAGGTAAGAGAGTCCATTCATTGTCACTGAAAGTGAAACTTGCAGTGAAGCACTCACATTCACACTCACTCAGGAAAACAATGGACTACCTCGACACAGTCATAGGACATCCACAAAACCGCCTCGTCGACTGGGTCACCATCCACCCTCGAACCCGCCACACCCCCTCAACAACCCCCATCTTCACCGAAGCCCTCGAAATCCTCACCGAAAAGTACTCGCGCACGCTCCCCATCCTGCTCTCCGGCGATGTCTTTGATCTCGCAACCCTCCCCATCAGATCAACCTCCCCTCCCGACCTCGCAACTCTCACCATCAAAGAAGACAGCAACAACATCTCCACACAGCAACAGCAGCAGCCGAAACCCAGCAACACGAATCTCACGGGCTTCATGTCCGCCCGCGGCCTCCTCGCCAACCCGGCCCTCTTCGCGGGCTATTCGGCGTGTCCATGGGAGACGCTGGAGACGTTCATGTGTAATGTTGCACGGTGTCCGCTGCCGTTGAAGTTGGTTGTGCATCACGTGCAGGAAATGTGTGCGCCGGGGATGGGTAACGACAAGTCTTCGTTGTTGAATAAGAAGGAGAGGGCGAAGTTGGTGGATTTCACGAACATGGCGGATTTGATTGACTTTTTGGATGAAAAGATTGAGGAGCATACTGGGCAGAAGGGGATGAGGCGAGACTTGTGAAACAACTAGAATAAAATAAGAGAAATCTGAAAGAAAAAACATTGCAAAAGAAGGGAAAATGTATCTATAGAATCAGGGATTGCGGTCTTGTCTGGCTCAATGCAGCCCTTGATGTTGGATATGATTATATGTGGCTGGTTCAGGTGCTGCTCTTGAGTCTTCATCGGAGGTTGGTCTAGGGACACGGCATGAAGCCAGTATAAAATAGAATTTAAAAAGAAACATAAAACCATTCACCTGGGTTACGACATATATATACTCCTATAGATTATAAACCGCTCAAAATACCCCGTATGCCCACAGACCCCGAATCGTCCCGCTTCTCCACAAACGCCTTGAAATCCGCCTTTGACAGCTTCCCCCTGACCGAGCTCGACCCGGGCGCCAGCGTCCTCACCTTCTCCCTCAGCGCCTCCGGACCGACGATGAAGAGCGACCCAATCTCCGTAAGCATCTCAATCGCCGTCTCCACGTCCTTGGCCAGCGGCCACGCCCGCAGCGTCGCCACGTACTTTGCAATGTCCTGCGTCACCATCAGGCCGCCCGTGGCGTTGACCTGGAACCGCTTGAAGTGGTCAAACAGGTGCGAGTGAAGCACCAGGCCCAGCTCGCTAAAGAACTTTTCGGCGTTGTGCCCGTCGATGGCCTGACTGGCGAGTTGGCTCGCCCGTGCAAGGAACTGGCAGATGTGCAGGCACGTGGCGGTTTGGAGAGACTCCAGTTCGCCGTCCTTGGGCCTGAAGTCCTGCTTCTTTTGTGTGCCTAGCGACTTGATGACCCAGTTCACAACAACGTCGATTGATATTTTTATCACGGCGTTTGTCTTCTTTTCAATGGTATCAATGGCCATCTTCTTCTGTGCCTCCATGCTCTTGCGCACAGTCGTGTTGGATTCGGCGAGTCGAATGAGGACCGTGCTGATGAATCGTTCCATGAGGCCCGATATCGTCACACCCGGTCGGATAGGCGGTAGATACGACATGTCTGGCTCGATCTTTGTGTTCTCCAAAATGGTAGCCTGAGAATGTGCTGCCTCGAGGGCAGTTTCGATGTAAACTTGACCCATGTGTGTGAGCAGCAGGTTGAGCAATATGTTGACATCTTTCGGTGTATCGATCTGAGACCCGAGCTCGAGTACTCTCTGGACACTCTCCGCCAACCATTTTAGCATCCTCTTTGCGTTGGCCACCCCTAGTATTCCATCTTCATCTGATACCTCAATCTCATTTTTATTATCGCTCTTGTCTGACAGGCCGGCAACTCGCAGCATCATGGCCTTTTGCGTGGCCGATAACTCTGACGACTCAAGACGCTCCAGATATGCGTCCTTGGCGGACTGAATCATCTGATTGCCTTGCTGGGCTAAAGAGGCCATGAACCCAGAAGATGGCGCCTTCTTTCGCCTTGAGTGGAATATACTAAACTTGAAGAGCAAAGAGCCGTATAATACTTCCAAGCTCTTCTTTTCCCGCTCGATGTAGACACTTCCAACAAGAAAGGGGACGAAGAGCTCGTCCAGCTGCTGATCCAAAGCCTGTGCAATCTGCGCCGAGCAAGGCTCTGGGTGTTCCGTCAGGCCGTGCATCTTCAAATCTTCTACCAAGGAGCCGATATAACTCCTCGATGAGTGGAGGGATCTGAGGAACGCCAGGGTGGAGACTGATTCGGCCTTGTCGAGGACCTTTTCGAGTCGCTGCTGTATAGACTGCTGGAAGACGCGCTGAATGAACTTGATGAGCACCGTTTCGTAGTAGGGGAACGCCCGCTTGATAATAAAAGATTCCTCTTGCATGACAATCTTGACTTCGTCAATGAGGGATTGCAAACTCGGTTCGATGCCTGGCGGCTCCACGTCCGGATCGGCCAAAGCCTCCCACATTTCACCATCCGCTGCCATTTCGTCGCTCATTAACTGGTCTCTGTCAATGAAGAACTGATGCTGGTTTACAAAAACCGCAATGACACTGGCGCCTCCGTTGAAATCGTATAGCACCTTTGCGCATTCCATCATGTCGTTAAAGTTCTGCCGCCTGTAGCTATTGTTGAACTGCTGCAATAGATCTTGCTCCAGCGTCTCGCAAAATTTCTCCAGGATTTCTCGGGTATTGCGCGCTCTAATTGTCAACGTGGCAAAACTGGCAATACTGGCCCTGTTGCCATTTCGTGTTGCCCATGCCAGCGGGTCAAGCTGCTGGCTGATTCTCATCAATTGACGAGCAATGACGGCACATCGCACCTTGTTCTCTGCGCCTCCTTGCCGCCGGATGTCTTCAAGGGACGATAATAGCCCAGTTTCGCTGAGTTCTGTCCAGCAGCTTATTAAGAAGATGGTGTCTTGTGCTCTTCTCCTCTTCTTGTCCAAGTCGTCCAACTTCTCTCCAATCTGTACGGCAATGTTCCCGCCAGTATCGGGCTTTCCGTTCGCGTCATTACCATTTGTGCTATTAGGATTTAATGAAATGTCTAGGGCCTCGAATGACTCCATGGTTTCGTCGAGCTTGCGGCCGAGGGTATCGAGTGTTTGGTCGTGTTGGATTTCGGCCCGGCGAACTTGTGAAAGGAGCTCGGATTCCTTTTCCTGGAGCTCATCTCCAAGGACGGCAAGCTGAGATAAGGCATCTGGAGAGACATCAGTCAGTGTGAGCGCCCCCTTTCTCGCCTCCCACGATCGGATCCCATACTCTCAAAGCTTCTGATTAGCGGCTTTGGGTCAAAAGTGGTGGATTGAGACGGCCCCGAGCGACGGCCAGAGGGCATAGCACTCTCGGCAAGACTATCAACAAAGTCTCTGACTATGAAGTCCTTGTTGGAGAAGTCGTCGAGGGTGAAGTTGGGCCCCTTTGGGAAGATGCTCTTGGGCCCGCTGGACCGGTCCATGGTTGGCAAGCGGCAGGGCGAAGCTCAGCGGGCTACATGTATGTCGTGTGTCGTGTGTTATGTTATGATGCAATTGAAGTACATCTGCCCTGTTCGCTCATGTGATGCGGTGCTCGACGGTCGCCCGAGACCAGATTTGCCGTGTTGCGTCGTCGCAAAAGCCGCTGTTCAATGCCTCCCCTAGAATGGCAGTCCAGCACCTTACGTGACCACTTGAAGCTGTTTAGCAGGTATCATGCCTGCTGGGCCCCGCCACGCCACACCTTGCAGCGACCTTCCGACTGCGCCACAGCCCGTCGTGGCTCGTCGGACCACTCAGGAGAGAGGACACATGCAAATCCCATCAAATCGGGTACCGGCGACAGGTACCTTTTTCTGCTGAACGAGACAAAGCAGCTCATTTGCATCGCCTCCCCCAACTCTTCCTTCCCAGCAATTCCATTGCTGCATGGACACGTCAAGCTTGCGTCTTGATTCGCCATATGGGCAGCTGCCACAACTTAAGGGCGTGCAGCTGGTCTCGATTTCCCTCTGTTCGAAAACTTTACCTACAACACCAGCCGCGAACCATATAATACACCTTGGACAGCTTTTCGGCTCCCTTAATTTCGACTGCTTTCTCCTCGTCGCCTCGCTACAGTGAGACAGTCTTTCGAGACTGCAAATAGCCAGCATGCCTATGTCTGTTAGAGACACAAAGGCATATAGGGCCGACGAACAGCAGGACCACCATCTTCTGACCGAGGCTCAGCGACAGGCCATCTTCAAGGTATGAGCAGTTTGCGACTCGAGAATACGCGACAGCATCTCTAATAACAGACAGGCTTCGCTTCCCTCCCCGAACGATGGACCTGCCGCCGTGAACAGTAGGGCCTCGCAGGCACAGCGCAGATCCCGGCTCGGAGTTAGACGCTTCCTAAAAAACCAACTCTTCGTCTTCGTCTTCGCCGTGATGCATGGCATCTTTTCCCTATATATCAAGTCACGGCAGACATGGCACGGAGTGGCCTACCAGATCTCGTCCATCCTCTACTACCACCACGCTACGCCACAGTACATCCGACGGGATATCGCGGGGCTGACCAAGAAGCCAAACCATCTCAGCGCAATCTTGAAGACTGAGGTAAACCACCATAGGGCAAAGAATGATATTGATCGGCTGATCGAGGAAACCGCCGAGCTTGCGACGTGGTGTGCTTGTGCGGAGATTCCCATGTTATCGATATACGAGAAATCAGGTGAGCCTCTCTCTCAATTTCCACGTCCCTTATAGGCACCAAAGACTGACACAACGAAACAGGGGTCTTGAAGAAACACATGCCTCGGGTTTACGAAGCCGTCATACAAAAGTTCACCTTTTACTTTGGCACTGAACATCCGACGCTGTCTGTGACTTCCCCCCACAAGGAGGATTTCCCTACGCGAATGCTTGAAGAGAGCAGGCACGGCCATTTACAGCTTCACTTGATCTCTTACCAGGACGGAAGAGAGTCCATCGTTGACCTCACCAGAACCCTTGCCGATATGTCTCAACGGGGTAAGATTTCCCCACGAGACATTTCCCAGGAGCTTGTCGACGCCGAGCTGTCGGAGGGTATCTTCCCGGAACCGGACTTATTGATCCTTTTCACTCCCTATGTCGAGCTGTCGGGCTACCCTCCATGGCAAATCCGCCTAACTGAGATTTTCTGCCTGCAAGACAACGAGACGTTTGGTTACCAGGTGTTCCTAAGGGCCCTGAGGAACTTTGCTTCCGCTCAGATGCGACGCGGCAAATAAATCGGCATAGAAAGCGCTGCAGATATCCATTTCCTTATAGATAGATGTACATTCTCTCCTTTTTTTTATTTTATGCGGGCTTCCATAGCATCATGGTACCACTCGTCTTATCCCATCGATAGACAGGACCACTTCCAACGTTATAGTTGTAATAGTTTTCTGTTCCCCCTTTGATCATGGCCCTTCTGAAAGTTATATTAATTCTTCCCCCATCGTCTTGGTTCTTTCCTGTGCGTTTCGGTATAGAATGGAGCCAGTTAGACTGTGTTTTCCCTCGCATCAAGATCATGTCACCACTATTTAGTGGGAATTTGATAACTCCTGTTTTGATAACTGAGCTTTCTCCCTGATTTGGAGGTGCTGGTTTGTGCTTCATCAGAAAATCCCGTTTAGCGCCCAAGGAAAAGGAGGCAATGGCGGGATCTTGACCAAGAAACCTTT